ACATAACTGTGCAATCGCCTAATCAAGAGCAGACTCCCCCACTTGGCTCGAAACCATAGACCAAAACACACACAATAACTCATAACGCATATACCCTATTGCTGTCATAATACCATAGTGAGATTAAACTCAATCCTTCATAAGCTCGTGAAACACAAACCATCTGGTACTTTAAATCTTCTGCAAATCTTGCATTCATCCTCGCAACAGTCAAGCCCACTCTCTTAAGCGACCCAAATTTGTATTTCAACACATATTTTTCACTGTAAATGAGATCTTCTAACCGACAACATAAGGATCACATAACCTCTAAACACTCTGTAGGAGATAACCCACCTGCTTTGCCTCCAACTAACATTTCCTTATACCTTCCACCGTCATAAACATTATGCGGTCACTTAGTCTTCCTGAGTCTGAACTCATACCGCATCATGAATTTCTTTTTACTTCACTCCCACAAGGAAACATGGAAAGATTCTTCACACGCCCATAACTCGGGGCTATACCTCGAATCAAGATGGAAATCAAGCACCTAATAGTTCTTCTATCCTCCAGCAGACCTTTCTCGTCGCTTCCAAATCATATGAATACATCTCGCAGTCACATCATACTCGTCACGTAACTATCCAGTCATCACTTCTTTTAATAGGGACACAACAACACATATAGATCCAGAAACATGCGCTCACGCAATCACCACCTCGGTGCTCAAGCTATAGGCAAAAATCCGGCCTCAAGTATTCCCGACTGGCCCAACATCAACACACTGAGATCAAATCTCGCCCCTCGATCAGGGAATCACGAGCAATCGATGCAAATCTAATACTGAGCGCTCATGCGCGCACACGAACGCGTGAAAGGAATTCAAAGAGTTACATTTCAAGCTGAACCAAAGGATGCATGATAATAATTCAAGAAAGTAAAGTTTTCCCAATGGTTCTGCAGCCTCTCGAGGATAAATACAGACGTCTCCGTACCGATCCGCGAGACTCTACTAAACCTGCTCATGACTCGTGAGACCTATGTAACCTAGGCTCTGATACCAACTTGTCATGACCCCAAACCGGACTCGGTCATGATGACGCATCTCGTGAAGACAAGGCCAGCAGACACAGTTCCCCAAGTCATCCATTTTCCATTAAAAAGTTGTTTTTATACCATTTATAAACTGTTAATTTGATAATGAACATTTAAAAGAAAAATGCAGAATAATTACACAAGCCCGAAATCGGGGTGTCACTAGTCATAAGCATCTACCAAGGTCTGAATACAACAAAAACAGTAAAATGTACTAAGTACTGAAATTAAAATGAGAGGAAGGAAGCGGTGCTGCGAACGTCGTGCAGCCACCTTGCTAACTCTGATGACTCCACGTTTGAGCAACCAACACCCGCTACCGGGTTCCGAAATACCTGAATCTACACACGAGGTGTAGGGAGTAATGTGAGTACTCTAACCCAGTAAGTAATAAGAGTAAATAAAGACTGAGCAGTAGGAAACAATGAATCCACATTTATGTTAAACTCAATAAGCACACAGGCTGCTTAATCAGAATACGAGTCAATCGCCTCTTTTAAAATCTACCTTTTGGTAAAAATCATTTAAAATGCCTTCCGACAGATTCAGTAGGGATACCATTTTTAATAAAAGAGCTGAAAACCATAATCGGTCCCTCGGGCAAAACATAGTTCATAAACAGCCCCTCGGGCAAAACAGGAGTCATAAACACCTCCTAACAAGAAAATCTCAGTGGAAATAACAAAAGCCAAATCGGTGATTAAGTTCTGAACATCTCATAAACCCCAGCTTAAATGAAAGTTGTTTAAAAGCATTTATCTAACATTTTGGACAGAGGCTCAGTATAAAGTATGAGTGAAAACGGTCATTAAATCAACATATTCGATAGAAACTCACTCTAAAGAGAAGTGAAATTCAATAAGTTCGTAATCATGCCCCTCAGGCAAACATCACTCATGTGCATGTATATATATCTATCACCCTCGGGCTAGCCTCTCAGTCACTCGTGACTCAACTCCTACCATTCAGCGCTCACACTCAGCACTCACGCTCAATAGGTACCATATAGTAACCGCTGCGGCGTGCAGGCCGATCCATATATCGCTGCAGCGTGTAGCCCGATCTATATATATAGTCGACTGAGCTCACTAGGGGTGTGTAGACTCCGGAGGGGCTCCAGCAGCCCAAGCTCTATATCGCTGGGGCGTGCAACCTAACCCAACATATCGCTGCGGCGCGCAACCCGATCCATATATATATATATATATATATATATATATATATATATATAAAATTTCAACAACAACTATACCAAGTATCCCGGCAAGGGATCATCAATAACTATATATTGCTGCGGCGTGCAGCCCGACCATAGATATGTAATCGTCACAACCAGGCCCTCGGCCTGTCTCAATCATTAACCTCACAATAAGACTTTCAGTCTATCTCAGTCATCAACCTCACAATCAGACCCTCGGTCTATCTCAGTCATCAACTCACGATCACTCGGACCATCAGTAAAACAGGGAACCCAGCCCAAACAGTTTTCACATTTTTTAAGAAATATAGTGATAAAACCAGATTTAAACAATAACCAGGTAAAAACATGACTAAAGATATGCTTTCAAAACAAATAAAGTGAAGAAAAATAGTAAAAATGCCCTTAAGGGTCTCAACAGGTTGGCACAAGGCCCCAAACATAGCATACAGTCCAAAATATAATATCAATCTCTAGAACATGGAATATCATAAGGTTTCAAATCAAATACGCGACTTAACAATCGTACGGGACGGACCAAGTCACAATCCCCAATGGTGCAGAACTCCACGCTCGTCATCTAGCGTGTGCGTCACCTCAAAATAACACAACGATGTGTAATCCGGGGTTTCAAACCCTCAGGACAGTAGTTACAATCATTACTTACCTCGATCCGATCCAAACTCTAGCCTGCGATGCCTCGCCCGCACGAATCGACCTCCAGGTGCTCCAAATCTATCCACAATCAGTACATAATCATTAAAATATGCTAAGGGAGCGAAGCCCACTCGAAAATATCCAATTTAACATCAAAATCCCGAAATTGCTCAAACTCGGCCCCCGGGCCCACGCTTCGAAATTCGAAGAAACTCACAAAATCCGACAACCCATTCAACCACGAGTCCAGCCATACCAAAATTACTAAATTTCGATAACAATTCAGCCTCCAAATCTTCAAATCTTATTTTCAAATCCCTAGGTCCAAATCCCCAATTTACACCTCAAAAACATGTAATCTAGTCGGATTATTCGATGATAATTCAATATTATGGAGTAGAATTGATCACAAGTGACTTACCTCAATATTTCCCATGCTTTCTTGCTCAAAAATCACCCCAAGCCGTGTTCTTTAACAAAAAAATGTCAAAATGAGCTACGAAAACGTAACAGCTTTAATAAATCCGATTCTGGTCGCTAAAGGCTTAATTCCCGTCGCTAAAAGGTCCAATCTGGTCGCTAAAAGGTGCACACCAGATCTGATGCACCAGTAGTCTTTAATTTCACTAAAAAGGCTCTAACTCCATCCTACGAACTCGGAATTCGATGATTCTTGTTCCTATGAGTCACAAATAATGATACGAATATAGTCCTTCAATCAAAACTCAATTCGGAGCTCGTTTGCTCAGTGCGATATCCATTTCGCTCGTTAAACAATTAACTCATGATTTGCGTTAGAAACCCAGTCGCGACTTGATGAAATTAGACCAAACTTTCCAGATCACTCCTATAATTCATTATCAAAATTCCGGAAGTCTCAAATTCAAATTTCGATCTCTAGAACTAAAAATGGACCTTTGGATCATTACATGCTTATGCTCAAAATGCCAAAATCTTCTAAAAACTCTTCCAAACCATATCCGAGCCTCATGGGACCTCGACCAAATATGCCAACACACCCCGTAACATAATTAAAACTTGTTCCAACCTTCGGAACGCTCAAAACAACATCAAAACATCAAATCACCCTCGGATTCAAGCCTAAGAATTCCAAAACTTCTGAATTCGATCAAAAAGTCTATGAAACCTCGTCCGAATGACCTGAAATTTTGCACACACATCAGAAATGAAACAATGGACCAACTCCCATTTTCGGAATTCCATTCCGACCCCGATATCAAAATTTCCGCTGCCGACCGGAAAACGCCAAATTTTCAATTTTGCCAATTCGAGCCTAAATCTACCACGGACCTCCAAAATGCATTCCGGACGCGCTCCCAAGTCCAAAATCACCTAACGGAGCTAACCAAATCATAGAAATCCAAATACGAGATCAAATACTAAAAAGTCAAAACTTGGTCAAACCTTTCAAATTTCATGCTTCAACTGAGAACTGTTCTTCCAAATTTATTCCGATTACCCTGAAAACCAAAACCAATTATTTACATAAGTCATAATACATCACACTGGGCAAGCCATGCCCGAGAACTAGCGATCAAAGTGCAAAAGCTCAAAACGATCGGTCGGGTCGTTACATAACATTACCCAATAAAGTAGTGTTGAAGCTCAAACAACTCCAGTTTTTTCATTAGCTTTTGGTGATTTTGTCCTTAAATACTGTAGTAAAGCAATTCTATGTTGAAGTTGTCTAGTTGTGATTGCTTGCTTTCCCTTCCATTTCAGGCCTTTACTTGGTTTATAACCAAGGTCACCAGTCACTACAGCTGAAACTTTCAACTGCTCCATTATTCCTTCCACTGTCGATTACCCTACTAACATGCCTCCCTTGCTAAAAATTAAGTAAAAAAAAATCAGATATCAGACAATGGAGTTTAACTTGCAACCTCAAAACTAGCAACCAAACTGCTAATTACCTCAACACATGTATAGCCACTTTTGCTGACAAATACTCCATGTCCCACTACTCTTGGCCTCTTAAATGTAGTAAGATCATCTCTGTTGCTTGCTTAAGATTGTTGCACATCTGAAACTTGAGAATGTTGGACATCTAAAACTTGAGATTGTTATCTGAGTTTTGTAACTTCTGCACCAAGTTGCTATTGCTTCTTCCTTTACCACCCTTAGCTTTAGCATTCCTCTTACTAGTAGATGCTTGGGAGTCAGCCTTTGATCTCTTTTTAGAGGTTGATTTTTGTGATTGAGCCACTCCTTTTGCATATATAAAAACAGTCCCAATCAGCTAATACCAACTAATACCAATTAGAACTAACAGTCCCAAACTAACAGCTAACTGAAGCTAACAACTAACTAATATATAACAATTAATACAATGCTATAACAGAAACAAAAAATAACAGCTAACTTAGGCTAAAATTCAGCAAAAACTAACATTCAGCAGAACTAAAATTCAGCAGAAACTAACATTCAGCTGAACTAAAATTCAGCAGTCTCAAATTCAGTAGAAACAACATTCAGCTATCTCAAATTCAGCAGAAACAATATTCAACAGTCCCAAACATTCAGCAAGCAGTCCCAAACATTCAGCAGAAACAAAATTAGCAGAAAAAACATTCAGCAGTCCCAAACATTCCCAAACAACCAGTTTATGTTATAACATAAAGCAGTTTCTAACAGGAGGCAGTCGCAAACATGAAGCAGAAACAATCAAAAATAGTAACAGCTGACAGATGCAAAAACATTGCAAAAAAATAGAAAGTACCTCTGAAGTGCTTTATGGTTTATTTGGACATCTTCTTCTGTTATGAGCTGTGGACTTACAAATTGAGCAACTCATTGATGTTCCTCTCTTTGTAAGCTTGCCACTGTTTTTTTATCTCCTCAGCCTCCTTTCTTTCTTTTTTTTTGTTGGCCTTCCAGACATTGTTCTAACAGGAGGTGGTTCAACCTTTGCATTTGTTGACTCATGCCACATCTCTATGCATGGTACTGGCTGTATGAAATGAGAATAAGCTTTTAGGTAGGTCTCCTTCTTGTACCACTCAGAAATGAAGCCAAGTGGATTAAGTCTCTTGTGATGAATTGCAGCGACACCATGTGCACAAGGTATCCCTTTTAGTTGCCAAGCTCTGCAACTACACGCTCCCTCAGTCAACTTGACAATGTGTTTAATCCCGGTAGCCCCCTTAACTTCATACCCAAAATCACCATTCCAGTGTATTGTGCACCTCATAGACTTCTCCACATTTGTAACCAACACCATCATTGCCATTGGTGATATGCCTTCATTCTAAGTATCTACAAATGCCCTCACTCTAGTGAACCTATTCATTACCTTTATCCTAATTTCTTCAAGCATGCTAATAATTGTGTTGTGCCTAGGACCCAAAACCCAAGCATTGAAGCTTTCAGCCATGTTATTATCCACACTGTCACACTTGGAAGAAGTTCTAAACATTGCTTTGCTCAATTTCTTAGGATTGTAGTTTACCAAGTATTCACAAATCTTGTGACCTATCTTACTTAGCTTGTCCAAGTTTGCTTTAAGTTTAGCTTCATAAGTTGATCTTGCACAGCTCCAACCCCATTTCTTCTCTCAATACCCTTCCATTTCTGCTGCCAGTTAGCTAGAATATGTCTTGCACACATTCTATGCTCACATTCAGGAAGATATTCTTGAACTGCTGAATATAAACCCTGCATCAATGCAACTATAATCCGAGGCAGATTTAGGGAGGGTCCTATGTATTTAACTAAATTTCTTTTTTCAGCTCGAATAATGTAGATATACTTACACAAAAGCACCTAAAATATATACATACAATATAATCACATTTCTTATTCTGAACTTATTGATTATAGATCCTAAATTTGCCTATACATCTAACCATATCCTTGATGTTGTTAAACAGAAGAAAGCAAGGTGACTAGCAATGTTGAAGAAGCTCAATATGGAGGAGGTGGATACATGGGCAACAGGGGCGGAGGAGGGTATCCGGGTAATTATCGTTGGGGTGGACGTAATGGATACCCGTGGAAAGGTTGCAGATATGGTTGCTGCCGTGGATACCGCAATGGCCCGGGGTGTTCAAGGTGTTGTGCCACTGCTCATGAAGCTCCTGATGTTCAATTTGAAGATTATTCCGAGAATTGATCATATATATTTACCTTACTTTGTTTTCTAAAATGTTGCTATCCTTTTAGCAAATAAGGCATGTTGTCTTCATTGGACTCCTAATTCCATTGAATGACATTGCCAATGCCTGGATATTTCACTAACTAGTGAGATTTTCAAGGAGTTTTGTGTTTTCTATCTTTTGAAGTTATTATTATGCATGCATTTTGGAGTTTTTCACTAGTGAAGTTGTCCTTCAATTATGTATCATTATTGTGGCTTTAACTCATGAAATTCAAAACGATCCTACTCCACTGGATACCTACTACCTCTTACAAGTATTAGTATCAGATAACACAATCCACAAAAATTTATATAGCTATACGAGAAGAAAACACCTAATAATTTCTTCTCATCTAATATGGTGTCCAATGACAGGTTCAATGAGCTTTGACGATTTAAAATGTCGACATTTTACTGTAGGTATATGAAAAGAAAATACCTAATAATATTTCCTCATCAAATATAGTGTCCAGTGACGGGTTGAAAGAGCTTTCACGATTAAAATGTCCACATTTTACTATGGGTATATGAGAAGAAAATACCTAGTATTTTTTCTCATCCAACATAGTGTCCAATGACGGGTTCAAAGAGATTTCATTAAAATGTTGACATTCTGCTATAGGTACACGAGAAGAAAATGTCGATATTCGGGACAATTCCAAGATTTTCATGTGTCATATTCCACGCCATCCGCAAGAATTTGGGTGACCGGCCCCTAATCTTCCGAAAATTTGCCGGCCCATAAAAATGGCCTAATGAATAGTATTCACCGCTTAGCCATGATTGTTCCACAGTTTTTGATGCTTTAGGGACATAAAACAAGAATTCAGGACGATTCTTAGATTTTTGTATGTGCTATAGTCCAGGCCATCTGCATGAATTCAAGCGACCGGCCCCGAATCTCATAAAATTTTGCGGGCCCATTAAAAACGACCTAATAAACAATAGTCACCGATTCTCCATGATTGTTCCTCGTCTTTTGGCATTTTAGGGCAATAAAATAAGAATTCATGACGATTCCCTGATTTTTGTGTCTATAACTGCATGAATTCGGGCCGCCCGGCCCCGAATCTCTGAAAATTTGGGGGACCATAAAAATGACTTAATGAACATTATTTACTGCTTAGCATAATCTTTCCTCATTTTTTGGCCTTTTAGGATCATAAAACAGGAATTCAAGACGATTTCTAGTTTTTCTTGTGTTATAGTCCACGTCAATTACACGAATTTTGGCGACCGGCTCCGAATATCTTAAAATTTTGCGGGCCCATAAAATGACTTAATGAACAATATTCAGCGCTTCGCCATGACCGTTCCTTATTTATTGGTGTATCAAGGCCATAAAATAGGAGTACAAAATAATTCCTGATTTTCGTGTGCTCTAGTCCATGCCAGCTGCGAGAATTTGCCCCGAATCTCCTAAAATTTTACGGGCCCATAAAAATGACCTAATGAACAATATTAATCATTTCTCCATGACCGTTTCTTTATTTGGGTGTTTTAGCGCCATAAAAGAGGAACTAGGCAGAACCCAAATTTTCGCACGCTATAGTCCATGCCATCGGCATGAATTCGTGCAACCGGCCCTGAATCTCCAAAAAAATTCCGGGCCCATTAGAACAACCTAATGAACAATGGTCATCGCTTCACTATGACTTTTTCTCATATTTTGGTGGACATAGAATAGGAATTCAGGACTATTTTCAACTTTTCGTGTGTTATACACGCCATCTGTATGAATTCAGGCAGCCAACCATGAATCTCCTAAAATTTTGCGAGCCCATCAAAAATGATCTAATGAACAATAGTCACCGCGTAGCCACGACCGTTCCTCATTTTTTAGCGTTTTAGGATCATTAAACAAGAATTCAGGACAATTCCTGTATTTTCGTGTGCTATCATAGTCCACGCCATCTGCATGAGTTAATGGGGTCGGCCCCCGAATCTTCTAAAATTTTGCGGAACAATCAAAATGACGTAATGAATAATAGTCATCGCTTCGCCATAGCTCTTCTTTATTTTTTGACGTTTTAGGGCCATAAAACTGGAATTCAGGTTGAGTCATAAAATGTTGCTTTCCTTTAAACAAATAAGGCATGTTGTCTTCATTGGACTCCTACTAATTCTATTGAATGACATTGCCAATGCCCGAATATTTCACTATTTAGTGAGATTTTCAATGAGTTTGGTTTTTCTCTATTTTAATGATATTATTATGCATGTACTTTGGAGTTAATCACTAGTGAAGTTGTTCTTCAATTATGTATCATTATTGTGGCTTTTAATTCCTGAAACTCAAAACGATTCTATTCGAGCAGATCTTACTACTTCTTACTAGTATAAGTATCAGATAACTCAATCAACTAAAATTTATATAGGTATACGAGATGAAAACACCTAATAATTTTTTCTCATCCAATATAGTGTCCAATGACAGGTTCAAAGAGCTTTCACAATTAAAATGTCGACATTTAACTATATGTATACGAGAAGAAAATACCTAATAATTTTTTCTCTCCAATATAGTGTCCAATTACGGGTTCAAAGAGATTTCACGATTAAAATGTCGACATTTTGCTATAAGTAAACGAGAAGAAAACACATAATAATTTTTTCTCATCTAACATAGTGTCCAATCACATTTCAAAGAGCTTATGCGATTAAGATGTCGACATTCTGCTATAGGTATACGAGAAGAAATATAACGATCTGGCCGGTCATTTTAAGAGTATTAGCCCCGATCCCCTATTTACTGCTTCTCCCGTATCATTTTATGCTTATGTGACTTGTCGGGAGGTTTTATTTATAGTTTTGGATTGAATTGGGACACTTAGTCCCTAAAATGGAAGCTTATGTTATACAAATTTGATCGTAGTTCGAACTGTGGGAAGATGACTCTGGAATAGAGTTTCATCGATTCCATTAGTTCCGTTAGGTGATTTTGGTCTTAAGAGCATGTAAGGATTTTGCTTTGGAGGTCCGTAGCTGAATTAGGCTTGAAATGGCGAAAGTTAAGTTTTTGGGAAATTTGACCGGGAGTTGACTTTTTGATAAGGGGGTTGGATTCTGATTCCGGAAGTTGGAGTAGGTCCGTAATGTCAAATGTGACTTGTGTGCATAATTTGAGGCCAATCAAACGTGATTTGATAGGATTCGGCATCGGTAATAAAAGTTTGATGTTTCAAAGTTCATTATGCTTGAATAGGGGTGCGATTCGTATTTTTGTTATTGTTTGATGTGTTTTGAGTGCTCGACTAAGTCTATATGGTGTTTTAGGACTTGTTGGTATCTTTTGTTGGGGTCCCAGGGGCCTCGGGTGTGTTTCGGATCATTTTCGGTTTCATTTTGGACTTGTGAGAATTGCTGAAGCATTGCAGCTTCTGGGGTCATCGCACCTGCGGCGGGGTTGGCCGCAGGTGTGGACACGCACCTGCGAGAGGACGGTCGCAGATGCGGCCCTGGTCTAGGTAGCTAGTGGTTGCAGGTGAAACATAAGGACTGTAGAAGAGGAGCCGCCCCTACGGAAAGGTGACCGTATGTGACGACCCAAAAACCACAAGTCGTGATGGCACCTCACTCAACCGCTAGGTAAGAAAACTAACATAAACAACACAATACGACTGAGATAATAAGAAAATAGAGAATAGCTAACTGAACCTTTACAAGTTTACCAAGACCTGGTAGTACGAATCAGGAGCTTCTAAGATTGGAATTTCAAAACTGATACAAATAAATACACGTTCTGTTTGAAGATTACATAAACAGATTAGCAATAATCTAAACTACCAAGGACAAGTGGCAGCTATATCCAAACGCACAAACATCTTCCGAATTAGCGCCCAACGTCACCAGCAACTCCGCTCCAAAATCTGCATGGGACGTGCAGAAGTGCAGTATCAGTACAACCGACCCCATGTACTAGTAAGTATTTTGTCTAACCTCGTCGAAGTAGTGACGAGTCTTTTAGTTAAAAGAGATTCTTATTTAAATAACCTATACATTAGATTAACAGCAAAGCAGTTCAAAGTATAACGGATAAAAGTATCAAATACAACCCGACGAGTCAGACAATGAATACTATAAAGAACCACAGT